AAAGCCATGGGTGCAAAACTAAAGACAATGTATCACTTAATGGACATTTGTTTTATTGAAAATTTATCGTATATCCCCAGCACACATAATAAGTAAATGTATTGATTTCCTATTTTAATGAAATATATATTTTGACCCAATTATTTAAAGGTGTATTTATTTAGTTCACTTTGGTGCCCACCATCAAACATTATTCATTATACCTGTAGCTAATATTTTCTAATTCACGTTCATTATACTTAACTGCCTTTAACTCATATTACTCTTTACTCTCTGTAGAATAGGGACGTGATTCCATGTTACGCATCACAGCACACCTCTTTTCATCTTGCTCAGTTGTTTCAATAACAAGTCAAATAAAGGTCTTACCACTCGCTGTCTGATGTGCGGACGTAATAGAAAGCCCTTGACAGCAGTTTTTAAAATTGGGCAGAGCCAAGAGGCCACTTTCCTGGAGTCTAGTATGCCATGGAGCTTTTTAATGACTTTACAGCACGCGCACATGCATAAACGCATACCAAAAATATTGTGTAAGCACTTAAGTGGATCTAATTTTTTGGGGATGCTTAAATTTCTAGAAGCTGCTTTTATGGTTCAAGTTTTACATGCAGTTTCTGCATTTTTCAAAGCTGGCATTAAAAACCGGATGTACTACATAATCTTTACTAGGATGCTAGCTGGTGTGTGCAAGTAATAATTAAATTAAAAACGTTATTGATATAATAGCAGATGTGAAGAGATTTGCTTCCTCTCTAGGCTGTCTGCTATACATGCCTCGCAATAAAGTTGTATAACTGATGGCTTTAGGAACAGGCTCTTGTAGGATTGTGGTGGCTCTTAAAAGAGCCTTTGAGTTCAAACGTAACAGCGACGACAGCTTACTTCTTCTTGGCTGCGGTCTTTTTCGCTTTAGGCTTGGCAGCCTTCTTTGCCGGGGATTTCTTGGCTGCGGGCGCCTTCTTGACCACCTTCTTCGGGCTTTTGGCGACCTTCTTCGGGCTCTTCACGGCTTTCTTGGCGGGTTTCTTGGCAGCAGCTGGTTTCTTAGCCTTCTTCGGAGACTTTTTCGCAGCTGCGGGCTTCTTTACTGCCTTAGCCTTCTTCGCTGCCGCAGGTTTTTTGGCAGCAGCAGGCTTCTTGGCTTTAGGAGCAGCCTTCTTCGCTGGCTTCTTAGGCTTGGTCTCAGCGGTTTTCTTGCCTAGCTTAAAAGAACCAGAAGCGCCGGTGCCCTTAGTCTGAACCAGAGTGCCCTTAGAAACCAGGCTTTTGATGGCGATCTTAACGCGGGCGTTGTTCTTCTCCACATCATATCCTCCGGCAGCCAGAGCCTTCTTCAGGGCAGCTAGTGACACCCCTTTCCTTTCTTTGGAAGCGGTCACTACTTTAAGGATTTGGTCGCTGACGCTAGGGCCGGTCTTCTTGGGCTTGGAAGCCTTTTTCTTCGCTGGTTTAGCGGGAGCGGCGGCTGGTGCTGGTGCTACTTCTGCCATTTTTCCTTCTTTTGTTTTCTTTGCTGCTTTCGCGATCCAACTGGAGTCCGAGAGACGAGATGAGAAACTCGCAGCAGGAGTCGCCTTTTCAATGCAACATGAGAACCGTGGAGACTCAATCCAGCGCGGCGCTCTCGCTTGCAGCCCGAGTGAACGTGTTCTGTGTTTTCTCTTCCAGATAAACACGTTAAAAAGTAGCTCAAGAGGCAACGATGCGGACTGACAGTAAAGCAGCTGACAAGCGGGCACGAGTGTCTTCAAATTTAGCCCATGCTGAGCCCCAGTGCTTATTGCAGTTTTTCCCTGAAACTCCGAAACCTCGGCGAGTCACAGCGGAGCTTGGCGGCTTCGCCCCTTCTTTTACCCCATAAAAGGACTTCAAATCAAGTAAACCTGCACCAAAATCACTTTT